CTCTGGTTGGTCTAATCGAATAAATCAATTTAGAGGAACCCGCAGTAAAAAAATCAGGTTGTCGAGCTAACGACGTTAAACAAAGGACTTTATGGGAGGCATCCCATTATTATTTTTATTTTCCGTTTGTTTAATTTTTATAATTTATTTTTGTTTTTATTTTTCTTTGATTTTTCAGGTACCCGTTATTCCTAGTTAAATTTTAAGCAAGATAGAATCCATAATTTTTCGAACCGAAAGAGAAAAAAATGGTGAAAACCCGACCCCAAGGCGTGAAGAGATCGTGTGGCAGCAAACAAAGGAAGAATCATTCAAAAAAAAAGGAAACATAATTTGGAAATATACTATTCGAACATTGCAGAAAAACTGATTTGGTTCGAACAGTGCAGAAAAAAGACTTGGTTCGAACTGTGCAGAAAATTTCGAACAGAACAGTGCAGAAAAAACTGATTTGGTTCGAACAGTACAGAAAAATACACAACAAATTCGAACAATGCAGTGCAGAAAAAAAAAGACTTGGTTCGAACTATGCAGAAAAGTTTGAACAGAACATTGCAGTGTTAAAAAATAGCAGTATAGTTTTGGTTCGAGAGAAAAAAAACACAGCAATACAATTTTGGTTTGAACAGTGAAAAAAAGGATAAAACTTGATTGAGTTATTTTCTTGAAGTCTACTTTCTTTAGAATAAAATCTTAGAATGATCTATCTTTTCTTGATATTTGTTTTGTATAAAATATTAATATATCTTCTGGTGGCTTCTCGATCGGACATTCTACTATACAACAACTCATCTCGAAGTGGCCGTGGCCGCGGTCGCCACTAGATTGGGGAACATTCCTTTTGCCTCTCTTTGCTTTTAAATTTGATATACGTTTTGGGACAAAACAGATTAAGTGAGGGGGGAAGGATTAGCATGTCAAATTTTTTCTTTAACTTGTTTGATTGATTGAAATTGAGTTATTCTTATATTGATGTGTTGAGATCGTTGGTTGCTATTCTTGAACTTCACTTTATATTTTTGCTTCCTTTAGGATTGTGACCATGTTTTGATCGAATTTAATTTGCATGATTGGTGATTGGTATAGCTGGTGAATTTTTTGTTGAGTATTGATATTTCATGCTTTTGTTGATAGAAATGAACTTGACTCAGTGTATATAAACTTTTCTTGTGAGATTTGAGCCTAACAAGCATACATTTTCTTTCTTGCTCATTGTTTGATTTGAGAGTGCCAGACTAATTAAGATATTCTAGAACTTGTAATCAAAATGCATATCGAGACTACATGTTGAACTTAATGTTTTAATGTGATAGGGGCACCTAGGATAAACCAACTTTTTCCAAAAAGCATACTCATTTACATAACCACTAGTGAACCATATTTGATCCTATTTCCTTTTCGTTGTTTTACACCTCATAATTAAACCTGAAGCCTTTCTTTTTATTTTCCTCTCTTTTCACACCCTTGCCGTGACTTGAGATCTTTTATTACTCTTGTTCCACGAAGAAAAAAAAAAGGAAATGAAAAAATTTCACTGTTTCGAAGAAAAAAATCGAAAAAACAAAGTTGTTCACTCTTTCGAATAGCAGAGAAAAAAAGACCTTTCATTCAAAAAAGAAGAAGGAAAAATTGATAGTTTCAATTGCCTTTCATCTATTCTTTTTTCTTGTTTTATCTTTCATTGTGCCTCATGTTAATTCGTGGATTGTTCTTAATTATTTTGATCTCTTGTTTTGGCATTTTAAACCTTTCTTTTTGGCCTTTTACCTACTCTAACCTAAGCCCCGTTACATCTTGTTTAAAGACCCCTTGATTATTGCATTATGTTCACTAGTAGTGGAGACTTGATTGGATTCCAAGCCCATGGTAATATTTTGGTTAGTTTCGGTTTGAGCGATTTCATTTACCCCAAACACTTTGAGCGGATATGTGTGAATCTTTGTGAGATATTGAGTCATGTTTCATTGAAATTGGAAATTAATTGGGATATCTTACTTACTTTAAATTTTCTTAGTTGTGTCTTTGCTTGATTGTAACTTGAATTCGGAAATTGTCACGGACTTAGTTCAATTGGAAGTTTGAGGAATAAATTGAAATCGAAGATGACAACTTATGATTTTGTTATGTTAATTAAGGAATGCTTGAGGACAAGCATTAAATAAGTGAGGGGAATTTGATAAGTGCTTAATTTAGTTATTATTTTGCTTTTAAATTGCTTCATAATCATTAGTTTTTGTGGCTTATTTGGTCGTTTTGATTCATTTTATCTGCAGGACGCTAGATTCTGGAAATTGCACTAAAAGGACACAATTCTGTAGTTTTTTTATTTTTGAAATCAAAGCTGGATTAGTGGGCATGACTTTGGGAATGAAACATCTGACGAGGTGATGACATCATCATTTTCTAGAAGGTCCAGTCAGCGCTTCTAGAAGAACGAATGGATCAGCCGCACGTTTTACAATTCGGATTTGAATTAAACTCAAGTTTTAGGATATTATTTTAAATATTATATTTTATCTTTGTTTTAGGTATTTTAGTTTAAATAGTTTTAAGTATTTTAATTAGGATTTAAGATATTATTTTAAATATTATATTATATTTTATCTTATCTTTGTTTTAGGTATTTTAGTTTAAATAGTTTTAAGTATTTTAATTAGGATTTATTTCTTTATTTTAGGAATTAGCTTGTTTTTAGGATTTTGAAGACTATAAATACCCTCTCAGGGTAAGCCTAGAAACATATCTCTCACATCTAAGAATTTAATCTTCTTATTCTCTCTAGCTTTATAAAATTATCTCTTCTATTTTCTTTCAAGTTTTTCGCATATTTTTTTACTTTATTTTTAAGTTTTGTTTTCAAATATGCTAAGTATGACTTTGGTCATACTTAGCTAATTTTCTTTTAAGCCGAAGGATAAAGCGAAGGCTCAATTCCAAACGTGAGAATTGTAAGACACTTAAATCGCTTTAGATTTTTCTCTGTTTTCTGGGCTTATTTTCAAATCAAAACGATTTTCAAAAACAAAAGCCGACGTTGGTCTGGATGTTGTTATGGTTAACGTGTGAAGAAGGATTGGCTTATTGAAGCACATTCAAATTCCTGTGAACACACTTAGCAAAATTGTTTGTTAAGAGGAAACTAAGATCAGAATCAGTTATTGTTGAAACAACATAATCTGAGTCGGCAACTTTTTCGAACTTCAACGTTTTAAGATCTACAACATTGTTGTTGCTTAGATCAACTCACAAACCGAAATTTAAGAGTGCACTTGGATATTCGGTATACAAAGCATAGTCACAAGGAATTGTCCTTGTAGACAAATAGCAGACGTGAATCTTGAAATAAAGATCTATTTCGATTATCCGAGGAATTTGAGGCAAAGCTGAAGTCTGAGGCTATTCTTACTATAAGTCTTCTTTATCTCAATTTATTTTATTTATTTATTTGTTTATTTAATTTTTATCTTATTATATTTCTTTAAATAATTTAAAAACTCATCTTCTTATCTTTATCATTATCTTATAATTATTAATTAATTATTTTTTTATTTTATTCTTAGCTTTTTATCTTTATATGAAATTTTATGTTTTTCTAAATCAAAAGTCCACTAAATTAGAAACACCAGAGTCTCTGTGGATCGACTCTGCTTCTCTATATTACTCTCACTTTTTTAATTATTAAGAAGCCGAAATTATTTTGATAGCAAAACGACAGTTATCAAGAAGAAAGAAACGAGAAGATAATAAGAGGTCTCATGAAGCTTCCTCCTAATCGTCGCTGTATTAATTGTAACAGCGTGGTAAATTTTCTCATGCTTTTTCCTTTTGGAGTTGGGTGGGGGGTGCGGAGGTTTCATGGCTAAGGTGTGTTAGGGAGGCTGAGAGAGCATGTAAAGATGAACAAGATATGGGTTCTGAAATTTATCTAAATTCTCTTGGAAGAGTGAGTTTTAGTTGATGGGTAAAGCAGACTGGATAGAGATTTCTGGTTACATGAATGGTTTTAGCAATGGGATTCTTTTTGTTATTTTGTAAGAAATGACTTTAGCTGATTGTTGTGATAGTAAAGGTCTGATTATAGTCTGGTTTTTTAAACGAAAGAAAAGAAGACGATGTATTTGAAGTTATAGAAATTGTTTCTGAAAATGAGTTTTATGCAATTCAACTATTAGTAATGAATTTCAGGATGATAAATCAGATGATCAAAAAGGGTGTTCGTTTCATTTTGTAATCGACTCAGACTAATAGATTTCAAATTCAGTTTTTTCCTTTCTTTTTTTCTTGCTTAAATTAGGCTGACATAGTTGTTCGCCATGGTTTGAATGGATTAATTAACATAATTCGAGCTTCCAATGATAAATTTATATATATTTTCATATCCCCAAATTCTTTTATATTAGTTTTTGGTCCTATCATTGCAGAATCCTCTGTATGGTTGCAGAAACTTTTGGACTTTCGTTTGCATGACTTGCAGTGGGATCCAGTGAGTATTTTCTTTTAGTTTATAAGCATGGTCCACTTCCTCTATAAATAATTGTCACTCCTGTGAAGCTTTACATATTTGGTGGAACGTAACTTTAACAATTGTATGGATCAATGCATTGTGATTTTTGCAATTTTTTGGTAACTTTTGCTGTTTATCATTGTGATGATCTTAACTGAAACTTAAAGAAATATTGTATCTTTGTATTCCAATTTGGTTGGTGGTACTTTTTTATTTGCTTTGCATGATTCTGGTGGTGTAGCATGAGTCAGACTCAAGTCTTTCAAATATTTATCCTTTTTTGTCCTATCTTTGTGGTAATTTGTGATTATGTTAAATTGTATTGCAGTCGTGAGCAGGGTTTCAAATTGTAGACCGAAAACGTGATAACAGCCATGATATTGCGGTAGCGTCGCCGTTCGAAACTGGTTTTATGATTTTTGTGGTGGGTAACGGATTCACACCAATAACGGTATGTCGCGCCCGCAATTTAACGGGTAACGGTGGATTGCGTCGATCATAGGACGCTATAAGCGTTATTCCAACCGTGATTCCAATCGCAATTTTTTCTTTGTTTCAAAAAATGAAAGGTCGGGGAGGCGGGAGTTGAGAGTGAAAGCATTGGTGATCGGTACCTAGGGTGAGGAGAAGCCTTGATTGGCTTCTGCCCGTATTTTCTCCAAGAGTAATCATCGGGAGGAATATCGGCAAGCTTGTTACTGATTGCTGGCACCTTGATCGATCTCTTTACTCTATGTTTCCTGATGATGGATGGAGCACAACCAATTAAGGAGGAGAAAGGTAAAAGAAGGACTATATCAAACACCTTCCCTGTAAAAGTAAACAATAGCAATTATCGGAATAACGGAATTCTAACCTCTTTTTTGGAGCAATGGCATCTACTGCTACTATTTCCACATTTGATACTACCATCTTCTCCCCTACCAGAACACTTCTTTTTGTGTTGGGAACCCTGATTGGCCGAACAAGGCACCCTGATTGCATGGAAGGCACTCCCACCATCCAAGTTAGCTACACTACCATCTATACTAAACGAAGAAACGAAAGAGCTAGTCGATGACATGGTAGGTGTGCAGCTAGAGTCAAAGCAGAATTTTTTTTTCAGACAATGAAATCGGAGGAGGAGGAAGGGGAGGGGAGAGTTGAGAGATGAAAGGTCGGGGAATAGGGATGGGCATGAGACTCAAACCCAACGGGTTCCGACCCGACCCGACCCGATCGAGTCGGATTTTTTTTAAAAAAATCGGGTTCAGGTAGGTCGGGTGTTTTAATGTGATGTTCGGGTCGGGTCGGGGTCGGGTTTGGGTTTAGGGTGAAAAATACCCGACCCGACCCGAAAAAATATATAATTTTACCTTAAATATTTAAGAATAATTACAATAATACCCCTCTATATATTATATTTTTCAATTAAGTCACTATTTTTATTAAATACAAATATTTTTTTATTTCGGGTCGGGTTGGGTCGTGTCGGGTTTGGGTCGGGTTCGGGTTCGGGTGGAGGACTCCTTGTTCTCGGGTCGGGTCGGGTGGACCAAAAACCCGACCCAACTCGACCCATGCCCATCCCTATCGGGGAAGAGGGAGGGGGAGTTGGTTTATTTCTTTTATTTTTTAATATAATTTTAAATGATATATTAATTTGACATCCCTCCCACTTTTAGAATTTATAATTTAATCCATAGTTTAAAATGTAAACTTTAATTTTTATTTAATTTAGACTTAATTTCAGTAATATAAATTTCTACAATTTAAATTTTACAATTTTATTTTAATTATATTTAATTTAGTCATTTTAGGGTAAGTTGTGCGACATTTAAAAAAATTCACGATCGCGATACCCGCAATGACCGCAATGAAATCCGTTATGTACACAACTGTGATAAACGCGACGCGACCGAAATCGTGACCGTGAACGCTATTTAAATCCCTGGTCGTGAGTTTACTCACCGTGTAAAGCCCGTATCAATGTCAAAGTTTATTGCAGAAGAAGTTGAGGCTCTTAAGAATGGTGGTAATCAAATTTAAAATAGTGATCCATTTAAAAGTAGGAGGCCTCATTAAAAACCTCTCTCATAGTTGACTCTTATAAAGAGGCAACTAGTAGAAGGAGGAAAAGAATACCTCATTTTATTGATATGTCATAACTACATAAGAGTAAATGAATACACCATAGACATCAGCTCACTATAAAAACACATTAAGCTCCCTAGAAAATACCCTTACAATCACCCAATTCCATCCTTAGTTAATTTATCAGCCTCCCAGTTACATCCCCTAGGAATCAATCTCACAATAAACGCCCTAGCTAATACGGGACACAATTTCCTTGACTAGGGCACGAAAGAAGGAATGAGCAGTAGTAGGCGACATAATCCAATCCACTGAAGATTTGCAATTACTTTCTACTATCAGTCTTCCTTTATGTGCCCAAACTAAGGAGAGAAAAATCTCAATGCCTTTTTTAATGGCTTTCAATTCAGCCAATGGTGGATGGCCAGGACCAACACTTTTAGAGAAGGACGCTAAAATGGAGCTATTCGAGTTTCTTAAAATACCTCCGATTCCACTAGCCAACCCGTCTTTCCTTACAACCCCATCTACATTTATTTTGAAAAAAGTATACTGGAGGGGGAAGCCAACTTTGCACTGTCCTACATTTAATATTAGAGCAACGAAGCCTGTCTGCAAGAGATGGGTCCCCAATCAGCATGTCAGCCTAGATAGGAACGTGTGGGAACTTGGCTAGATACCATTTTCCAACCTAAATCTAACAATGAAGAAGAGGGAGGACATGTCAAGTTTCATATTATAAAAAACAATTGAATTTCTAGCTTTCCAGATAGACCAAAAAACAACTCCCATAATAAATTTCCAAATGGAGGAATTAGCCCTTAATTTAGACCAGTAACTTAGGAGGGTAGGAGGATCATGGGGCAATGCTGTAGAGACGTCCCATAAACTGAAAAATATGTTCCAAAGTTCCCTGGTACTAGAACACAAGATGAAAAGATGTTGCACGGTTTCTTCATGTTGATGGCAAAATGGACAGAGAACATCATCCAAGGGAACCCCCTTTTCTTCAGTTCTATTCTAACTGCCAATTTTTGGTGGGAAGCTTGCCAAAGAAAGGTTTCAACTCTTGGAGGAGCCAAACCCGACCAAACCCACTTATTTCAATTATAATTTTCCCTAAAATATTTAGATAGGGTCAACCTGCAGGATTTTACCGAGAACAATCCATCACCCTTCCCAGACCAAGATATGAAGTCATCCACTGATTCAGAAAGTTTAATGTTATTCAACATTGACATTAATTCCACCCACTGGTCCAATTCACAATCACATAAGTTCCTCCTAGTTTGAATATTCCACTCCCATCCATTCAATTCGTAACTACCAAATTTAACCACCTTTCCCCATTTATTGGAGGATAATGCAAAGATCCTGGGAAATTGATTTTTCAAAGGTGTATCATTTACCCAAACATCATTCCAAAAGGAAATAGAGTTACCATTCCTCACTTGGATCCTATAAGTGCTCCCATTTCATTCTACAATAAAAATCATGTATGAATTTCATTATTTGCTCCTTTAGGCTAGGCCAAAATTTCTTGAAAATCACATGGTGAATCCATACGGGCCAGGGGCTTTAGCATTGTCAGAGGAAGAAATGGCTTCCCACACTTTCTGTTATGAAAATTTCTCCTCAAGGCGGACCCTTTGATCAAATGTCAGTTTAGCAAAGTCAAGGTTAATGTCATCGACTACCAGCATTGTTTTGGAATTAAAAGCTTTCTTGAAAAAATTTGAGACATAGGTCTTTATCTGTTATGGGTCAGAAACTTCCTTTCCATCCACCTTCAAGGCAGAAATGGCATTGATTTTGTTTCTATTCAGGGAACAGAGATGAAAAAACCTCGTGTTTCTGTCTCCATCCTTTATCCATTTCACTCTCGACTTCTGAAACCAGATGCTTTCATCGATCCTGTGCAGTCTTCATAGTTCATTTCTATAATGCAATAGCTGATCCCATTCTTGGGCAGAAAGACTCTCACCTTGCAACTTAATTTCCAAGTCATTTATTCTACCTTCCATCTCTGAAATAGATTATGAAATCCCGAATTGATATATGTTGGTCCAACTTTTGATCGCCTTTTTTGTACCTTGAAGTATGGTGAAAAGTCCCCTACGCTTGTTTTCCTTCTTCAAATCAGCCATGAATGTTTCAACCAAGTCTTCGAATCCTTCTTCCTCTAATAGATAATTGAAAAATCTAAAAGGTTTGGGGCCCCAGATTAGGCAATCTTCTTCCAAAGCTACCGAATTATGATCGGAGAGGGATTTAGGAAGGATTCGTTGAAATATTTTTGGGAAACTATTCATAAAACTGCCATTAATTAAAAAATGGTCAAGTCATACCCACGTTGGAGATTCTCTATTATTACACCAAGTGAAACTATCTCCCGATAAAGGAAGGTCAATTAGATTGGCTTGTTGAACAAATGATCGTAGCAAATCCATGGCATGCCTATTCTATGTTACTCCAGTATTCTCTGCTGGATCAAGATATCCATTGAAATATCCCCCGATACATACTGGAAGATTCAGACTTACAACAAAATTCAACAACTCCCTGAAGGACTCATCCTTTTCAGCCTATATGGACGGGCCTTATACATTAATTATTACACACTCAAATTTTGACTCCTTGAACTTCCCTGATATTGCAATAAATCTTTTATGGATATGTTCGCAATTGAGTACTTCAAACAAGTTCTCATTCAATATACAAAGCAAGCCTCCCGCAGACCCATCAGCTGGAGAAAAACTTCCGCCTTTCAGCAAATTACCCCTAACTTTCTTCTTAGCACGAGTTGAAACTATTCTTGTTTAGTCTCCTGTATAAGTAGGAATATCGATTTATTCTTATTGACAAGCTTCTCCACTGCTCTTATCTTTTCTCTTCTCCATAAACCCCTTATATTCCATGAAATTATTTTAGATTTTGACCTTGAGAAGGATTATGAGCAGAAAACCAAAGGTGACAGGCATGATATTGTTCATTCTCCTTCGAAGACCTCTTCAGTTCCATCTTTAATATCTTCTCTTCTAAAATTTGCTGCCCACCTTTAAAAGAAATCCCCAACATATTACATACCTCTCAAGTAGCAGCTGCTTCATCTCTCGCTTTAATAGATATAGGGGACGATTTTGTAGAAGCCCTATCCTGTTCAGAGACTCCATGATCTTACTTCTATGTGACCTTCTATAGACTTTGTCAAAAAAGCTAATTGACCTGCTACCCTCCGAACACACACTGCCTGAACGACGGGGAGAGATTCTGGTATGAGTTTGATGGCTGAAACTCTTCGACCGGGATAGAAGCGACAAAGATTTTTTTAGAGGGGTCATATGATTTTCCTTAACTATATTTTCTTAATCAGTTATGGTTATTATTTTGTTTACCTCTTGGTTCGCAAACTTACTGGTCCTTGATCCTAAAGTTAAATTGTTTTCCGTCTTCAGTCCATTTTGAGGATGGGATGAATCAATCATATTCTCCTAAATAACAACCCTTTGACCTATGGGTTCTCTTTCCACATTAATGGCATCCATACTATCCCTATTGGAATTGACCATGTCATTTAAAATCTCTTCATTAGATAAAAACTCCCTTGCTTGGCGCCTCGTGACCACCAAAGGAATCCTCCCGAGAACATCATTATCTTCAGAATAATTAATCTCTGGATTTAATTCAACATTTCCATCTGTCATTCCACCCTCGAGCCACTTAGTCACCCTGTCATGCACATCCTCCGGAGACAGTTGAGCTTCCAGGTTGACTAGCTGATTCCGATCATCAAGTTCCCCATTATCTGATAAGCTATCTTCTCATATGTCTTCCGATGAAAAGCCATTGATCTGATCTCCGAACTTATTTGATTCTGATTTAAGGGAGCTTGTTTTAACTTTAATCAAGAACGATCTTTCGTTCGCAAAAAGCCTAAAGGATTTCAGAACATCAAAAGGGCTGGCAACCCTCAATAGTAATTTGGCAACCGTCAGATCAATTTTATTCCTTGTATCATTGTGTATGCTCACCAAATGACTCCATCTATTCGCCAGAATTGTGAAAACAAAATTATTCCAACTTATGAGAGGAATTTCGTATAAGTTCATGGAGCATAACGCCATGGGAACACCTTCCTCCATGACCAGCTTTTCAATCCATTCAAACCAGTACGATAACTCCACTTTTTTGTTAAGCCATGTATCTTCCGTGACTTCTTTTGAAGGGAAGCTAATGATACACACATTCCTGTCAAAGCCCCATTTCCTAACAACTACATCAATGCCATCATTGTAGAGAGCTTTCTGCACGAACTCGAATTCAAAACTAGTTTTGACAATTCCAGTTAAAGAGCACTTTATCCACTCCCTTTCACTCTCTGAAATGAAGAAGTTCACCGGATTTTTTGTTCTGCTAATCGGAATCGTCTTCACTATTCCAACAGATAGATTCTTGCCATTAACAAGAGCATCCCTAAAAGACCTGCCATCATTAAACTTTTTGAAAAAAAACATCATTCTCCGTTGGCTCTTCGAAAGGTCTCTTCAATATGGTTTTCAGTTTCTCACCATTTTTTTCTGCCGGATGACGATGATTCTTCACCATCAGATACTTTGCTACCCCAACTGACATCTTTCTCCCATCTATTAATATGTTATTTAGCTTTTGACCGCATTCAGGTGATCTCCCTGACTCGCGAAGTGAACGAAGGCGAAGGTGGATTTTCTGTATCTATCTCTATTGTTGACTCGAGGGATGAAGACTCTAGTTACCCTCCCACGGTGATTGAATAATTCCCTTAAAGTACCCCTAGCTGCTCTTCTGCTGAGATTATCAATGAACACAGACCAGGTCACTCCAGTGGGGAGTGAACCGACTCTTCGGCTCCTATTTGAGAGAGAAGTCTTCATTTTTTTACCACTAAAAATATTATGATCAATGTGATCCATTTTTTGTTATCCATGGAAAAGTGGGATGTTTATTAACATGGTGATGAGATGTTCACCATTTTACCATTTTCAGCGTGCAAGAGACATATATCTCAAAGATTAGGACCTGCAGAGGAAAAGATTACCCAGCAGCAGGTGCAGAACATATTATATATCACTTTCATTCTAGGCATGATCTTGAGGATTTGGTTTTTCTAATAACTCTTTCTTATGGCAGCAATGCTAATAAAATCAGAGAGTTTATAAAGAACGCATATGTGGACAGAAAATATGTCAGACGAGAAACATCTGACAAGCTTCCTATAGACATGCAGGTAGTTCTATCTATCTAGCATATTACATAGTTCTATCTATCTAGCATATTACATAGTTGTGAGCAGGGTTTCAAATCGCGGTCGCGGTCGCGTTTTCGGTTATTTCGGATTTACCGTGATTGCGGCCGTTGCGGGCGCTATTACGGCCGTCGCGGGTAACTCCGACGGTGGCGAAACCGTTATATCACGGACGAAATCGCGGTCGCGGACCGTTTTTTGAAATTCTGGTTGTGAGTCTTCAAACATAAACTATTTGTTAAACCTTTGTGCTTCTTGGCTTTTTTTAATAATTAGAAAATGAAGAGAATATGGTTTTGGTTGTGGATCATGTGGTCTGAAGTTGAACTTCCTAATTTTATTTTTTTCCTGAAGAATATTTTTCCTTATCTGTCGTTTTTTATAGAAAATAGAAATTTTTAGATAGGGGTGTTCTATGTTTATTTCTCTCAGTATTATTTGAATTCAATTCTCTATAACCCAGAACATTAGGTTAAATTATGGTTGTATTTTGACAGAGCCCTAGTAATCATGGAGATACTATAAGGCGTCCAAGTTCTTATCACTCGTATTCTGAAAGTCCACCTTATGACTATCAATATGAAAATCGGCGTTACGGAAAACAAGTTGCTGCCATGTTTCCTAGGAATACCGGTTCAGATCGAGGCTTCTTTGTGAGGAAAGTGTCTAGTTTTATCTTCAGTCCTGGTTGCTTAAGTGATCAAATGTTCGAGGACAGGTTTGCAAATGGGGGTTCTGCTCCTAGATTGTCAGACAACTCTGTCTCCAGTGGAGGTGATACTTTAAAATCTGGTACAGGGTCACCAAATTTTCAGGACACTGTATTTGGCAGCCCAAATTCTCAACCTCGAACAGATGTCTTTAGTGAAGATACACAACGTCGAAGAAGTAATTGTTTATGAATCCAAATTCTAAGAAAGCTGCTGTAGGGATCCCGCACCCGCAGGTCTGATATCTCACACATACTATTCTTTTTAAGTCATTTGCCTGCTCTGGAAATATATAATTCTTTTGAAGCATCGTTACCATAACACTGTGTGGGCTACTATGAATTCTTATTAACATCAAGAAGAGAGAAAATCTAAATGATAAATCATGTTGCGCATGCAATTTTAAAAAATATTCCAACAGAACTTATTCTTCTTTTTATCCATTTTTTCAATGTTCATGCATGTATATTATGGTTTTAGTATCAGTTACTTCTTCTGCAAGCTTAGTGAATACACAAAGACCTATAAATATATGCACATTTGAGAGATATATTTTGGGTTTTTTTTATATAAGTAGGAAGCCTCATTAAAAACCTCCCTCATAGTTGACTCTTATAATGAGGCAATTAGCGGAAGGAGAAAAAGAGTACCTCATTTTATTGATATGTCATAACTACATAAGAGTAAATGAATACACTATAGACAACAGATCATTAAAAAAACACATTAAGCTTCCCTAAAAAAATACCCTTACAATCACCCAATCCCCTCCTTAGCTAATTTATCAGCCTCCCAGTTACATCTCCTAGGAATCAATCTCACAATAAACTCCCTAACTAATACGAGGGACACAATTTCTACGACTAGGGTACTAAAGAAGGAAGGAGCAGTAGTAGGCGATAGAATCCAATCCACTAATGATTTGCAATCACTTTCTACTATTAGTCTTCCCTTATGTGCCCAAACTGATAAGAGAAAAATATCAATGCCTTTTTTAATGGCTTTTGATTTGGCCAATGGTGGAGGGCCATGACCAACACTTTCAAAAAAGGACGCTAAAGTGTAGCTATTCGAGTCTCTTAAAATACCTCCGATTCCACCAGCCAACCCGTCTTTCCTTACAACCCCATCTACATTTATTTTGAAAAAAAAATCTACTGGAGGGGAAGCCAACTTTGCACTGGCCTACATTGAATCTTTGGGCAAGGAAGCTTGTCTGCAAGAGAGGGGTCTCCCCAATCAACATGTCAGCCTGGATAGGGACGTGTGGGAACTTGGCTAGGTATTATTTTGCCAACCTAAATCTAACAACGAAGAAGAGGGAGGATCTGTCAAGTTTCATATTATCGAAAACAATTGAATTTCTGGCTTTCCAGATGAACCAAAAAATAACTCGCGGAATAAATTTACATATGGAGGAATTAGCCCTTAATTCAGACTAAGAACTTAGAAGGGTAGGAGGATCACGGGGCAATGTTGTAGAGACGTCCCGGAAATTGAATAATTTGTTCCAAAGTTCCCTGGCAACAGAACACAAGATGAAAAGACGCTGCACAAATTCTTCATGATGATGGCAAAGTGGATAGAGAACATCATCCAAGGGAACCCCCTTTTCTTCAGTTCCATTCTAACTGCCAATTTTTGGTGGGAAGCTTTCCAAAGAAAGGTTTCAACTCTTGGAGGAGCCAAACCCTACCAGACCCACTTATTCCAGTTATAATTTTCCCCAGAATCCTTAGATAGGGTCAACCTATAGGATTTTACCGATAACAATCCATCACCCTTCCCAGACCAAGATAGAAAGTCATCTACTAATTCAGACAATTTAATGCTATTCAACATTGACATTAATTCCATCCATTGGTCCAATTCCCAATCACATAAATTCCTCATAGTTTGAATATTCCACTCCCATCTATTCAATTCATAACTACCAAATTCAGACACATTTCCCCATTTATTAGAGGATAATGCAAAGATCTTGGGAAATTGATTTTTTAAAGGTGTATCATTTACCCAAACATCATTCCAAAAGGAAATAGACTTACCATTCCCCACTTGGATCCCAGAATGGGATCTCAAACACGCTCCAACCGAATTACTATTCAAGTAACTATTTACAATTCCTTTCCAAATCCAAGAGTCTTGAGGAGAAAATGCCTTGCTGATTGATATGGACTTATTACTGACATTGTGTTTGCTGTAAATTATATTTTTCCATTGGGAATCGTTTTCGTTTGCAAATTTTCACACACATTTAACCAGCAAATCCCGATTAGTTATATTTATATCCAAAACTCCCAGGCCTTCATATTCTAACGGTCGACATATTGTTTGCCAATTCACCCAATGAATTTGACTCTTTTCTGATCCTTCCCCCCAAAGAAAATTTCCCATCAATGAGTTAATCTTTTGACTTACTTTGTATGAAATTTTGAAAACTGATAAGAAAAAAATGGGCAGGGAAGACAACACCGACTTCAAAATCACCAATCTGCCCGTCATTGACAAGGAATATACTTTCCAATCGGCTAATTTCTTGTTAAACTTCTAGATGATCGGATACCATAGGAATTCATAATTTTTCTTCGCACCTAAAGGTAAGCCTAGATAATCCGCAGGGAAAGAGCCTATTGAACAACCAATGGACGTGGCCCATTCATTTAGGGTGGCTGCTTCAACATTAATTCCATATAGTTTACTTTTTGAAATATTCAAATGTAGCCCTGTCATTAGACTAAAAATCCTCAAAACTCTCTTGATATTTTTGATTTGTCTAAGAGAAGCGCAACAGAAAATGGTAAGATAATTTGCGAACTGGAAGTGGGTCAACTGAAAAGGATTTCCTACCGATAACAAACCCATAAAAAAGGCCCAAATCATCAGCTTTAGTCAACATTAAATGGAATAGTCCACCAACTATATAGAACAGTAGAGGGGAAAGACTACAACCTTGTCTCAACCCTTTTGCCATCGGGAATTCCACTGTAGGTGATCTATTCACTAGTACTGATATTGATGCAAACGATAGACAGTACAAGATCCACGAACACCATCTCTCTCCAAAACCCATGTCTTTCATTAATCTAATGAGAATATGCCTAATGTAATCCAATTCAACATCATGTTTACATGGGCTAGTCCAACCTTTCAATGGAAGAAACTTTCTATCTTTATACATAATGATGCTTATTTTATATGCTATAACATAGTTATATTCATATACATATATTACATCTAGAGATATAATGATAATAACTTAGTCATTACCATGTGAGGCATAAGTTATTATTATATATTATAGCCTACATCCTTATATTATACACCTTATATAGTTCATATATTTAATTTATTTCTTTATGTTATGTGTGTAGGTACATTCGGCCACAACTTGGGAGCTATATTGGAGCTAAAAGGAGCATGCAACATTAATGAAACTTACATTGGAACGTTTAGGAGAGCATAAGGAACCATTGATGAAAAGTTGTCCGGAGACCCATGAGCTCATAGCTGGATCAAGCTGAAGATTTGAGTTGTAAGATGACTTCAATTCAGCTGGGGAGCTTCACCATCATCATCACCACTTAAGACACTTCAAATATGTCCAAAGTCAAATTTTGTGAAATCGTACCTTTTCGCGAATAATTGCCACCTCAAGAGGTAGCTTTTCATAAGGAGCTGCCATAATGTTCACCATGCTACAACTCACCTATGGCCAGCTCACCTCCAGCTCATTCACACTAGAACTAGCTCAAACATGAAAGGTTACATTTTCCAAACATTGTGACCTTTCATGAATGATGTTGCACATGAAGATGCCCTTTCACTAAGGAGCACATTGGTGAAGAGATCACACCCATTGGAGGCCTAAATCATCAAAGGACATGAGACAATGCTCCATGACTATTCGACCACACCACATGCCTTGCACATGAGAGCTTTGGCGCCAAACATGAGGAGGTACATCATCATTCGGCTAAGGAGATGTATTTGGCGCCAAGATGAACAAACATATATATTCGGCCAAGAGAGATGTTCCCTCACCCTTTGTTGAAACATTAAGCCCCTTCATGAAGGGTTAGCCAAACTATCACCAAGCTAAGGGACTTCTCTTTTCATATTTTAAAGCACTATGTACTTCCATAAGATACATGTACCAACCGAAACACTATGTAACCATTTGGCCAAGCCCTCTCGTTTCCTATAAATTGAGAGGCTTCTCATTATTTGTACTCATATCATCTCATATTATAAACAAACCTTTGTGAGTTAATTTTCTCTTCAAAGTTCTTTGTGAACTTTATCGATTAAGCAAGTATCATTCATATACTTGTGGTGTCATTCCTTACATCTTGATTCCTAAATTCCTAGATTTATATCTAGTGGGTTGAAGACACTTTCACCACCCCTCAAGCAAGTTTGTGAAGATCGGGATTGTGCTTCATAGCATAGTTTCTTCTTTGGCGTATTTGAGATACAACATCACCACCATCTCTATTTCAACATCAACTCCATTAACATCATCCATCAAGACCATCATCATCTTCCTAATTCTGCAACCATCTCTTTCATTTCTTTCCATTTCATTACCTTTATTATATAACCATTTATTAAGTCCATTACTAATCTCATTTCTTTCTTAATTTTGTTGCAGCCCAAACTTATAATTCAAGGACATCAGTACTTGTCAATCCTAGATCGAGATACAATAACACTATCTACTCACTTCCATCAAAGCGTATAGATTCAACCTACATCAAGCAGTAATCAGAGCATAGTTGGATTGACAACAAAAGTGTCATTGGTGTGCAAAGAAAAAAAGAAAAATAAGTTCGAAAAGAAAAGCAAGACTCCTATAACAAACAAAGGAGTTCAAAGACAAAAAGAAGAAAAAATCAGAAAAAGAAGAAAAAGAGA